GCTTCTCCAAGCAACGTACTGTATGAAATTTACCCTTGTTAAAAGGGAGTTTTTTAAACGAAGGCAGTGTGCTTTCCAACGATAATTGTTTGAAAACGTGAGCCCGAGAACATGGAGCGTCTGCACATTTAGTACTGGTAAGCCGTTAATATGCATCAGTAGGTTTCCTGCATCGCACATTTGTTTTCGACAAATGTGCATTTTTTTGATTTTTGTATAGAGATTATAGGTCCTGACGAGTTTGCCCATGTGGCGATCTTACATGCAATAGATTCGAGGATGTTGATTGCTTTCGTGTTGTCTTTTTCTTTTGTAAAAATGTATACATCGTCCGCGTAGAGACAATGTTCCACTCTTGGTACACGGCAAAGAATTTCGCTAATTTCGTTGAAAGCGATCTGGAAAAGCGTGACAGAGAGAGGAGATCCTTGCGGAATGCCATTCTTTAGCGGAAAGGAATCAGAAAGATGATTATTGATTCTAACTTTGAACCGCCGATGCGACATGAATGATTTGATGTAGTTGAAGAATTTGGGTCCAACATTCCATGATTTCAAGAGTCTTAAGATGACATGAAGACGAACTCTGTCAAATGCTTTTTCGAAATCAATTGAGAGAATTGTTACGGGATTTCGTTCGGAAATTGCTTTGCTTGTGAAATAATCAATATGTAACAGAGCGTCGATGCATCCTCTACCCCGCTTGAAACCAACTTGTTGCTTTGTTATCAGGTTCTTGGATTCAAGAAACCAAGATAATCTAGATGCCATAATCTTCTCTAATACCTTAGAGAGGCAAGATAAAAAAGAAATTGGGCGATAATCTGATGCGATGGAGACATTTTTTGACTTTGGAATTGAAACAACTGTTGCCAGTTTCCACATGTAGGGTATATGGCCAGTCATAAATACCGTATTATATAGGTCCAGTAATTTCTTTTTATTTGAATTAGGCATCCCATTGATCATTTGGTACGAGACGCGGTCCAGACCAGGTGTCTTCCCCTTCGATTTGGAGAGACAATTTTCAAGTTCTAAGGTAGATATGCAATTTTCCAGGAAGATGGCACATCTGTCAATACAATTTGAAAGAGGAATTGGATTCCTTTTAATTTCGATGAAAACACTGGAACAGTTGCGGTCAGAGGATTACTCGCACCACATTTGTCCAAAGTAATTAGAAATCTCATCTGCGTCAGTTAAAGTTCCATTGGGAGTGCAGATGGCAGAAATTTGGTTCAGGTTTGAAGTCCCATTAAGTCTGTTGATTTTGTTCCAGACAACTTTTATTGATGAATTTCTGTGAATTCCTCTCGCAAAATGTTCGAAACTAAGTGCCTTTGATTTTCGCAATTTCTTCCTGAATAGAGCATTGGCCTTTTTGTATAGTAACAAGTGATCATGATCAGCACATCTCTTCAAGCGGTGCCATAGAACCATTTTATTTTTCCTCAAAAACGAAAGCGTGTTGTTCCACCATGGAACCCTAGCTCGTTTAAAAGAGGTGTTGGATTGAGGAATAGAAAGATGAGCAGCCGTGCGGATCGCTTTACTCGTAATAGCAGCATCATGGTTGGAGTTTGTTAAATGGCTTTGAATTCAAAAATTACTCCACCTGTTTGGAGTAATTGATCCAATCCGCTTTATCTAGGAGGAATTTGGCCTGTTTCGCTGGAGTAGCAGAGGACGTTGAAAGTTTAAGATCGATTATGATTGGAAAGTGATCACTGTTATGTAGATCATCAGAAATAGACCAGGAAACCAAAGGAAGAAGTGAGGGACAGCAACATGTTAAATCAATATGTGAAAAAGTATGATGAGTTGAGAAGTACGTTGGTTTTCCATCATTTAAAATGCAAAGGTTGCTTTGAAAAAAGGCCTTTTCTAAAACAGTACCGCGAGTGTTGTTCACTGTTGAGCCCCAGATGGTATTCCAGTTGTTGAAATCGCCGCATATAATTAATGGGGGGGAAAGTACGGAGAATAAACCGTAGAGTTCTTGCTGAGAAAACGATTGCGAAGGTGGAATATAGAGCGAAAGCAATGTAAATTTTATATTTAACATTATTTGTATCGCTACGGCTTGTATATTTGAGCTTAAATATATGCGTTTGTGAGGTATACTTGATTTTATAAAAACACCTACTCCTTGTTTGGAATATGAATTTTGATCAGCATTCGTGAAGTATCCAGTATATGATTTGGGTGGAATAGGATTAAAAGAGCTTCTACAATGGGTTTCTTGGAGCGATAAAAAGGTTGGATTAAAATCACTTATGAGTGTACGGAATTCATCAAAATTATTAATAAGTCTCTTAATGTTCCATTGTAGAATTTTAAAAACTTTATTTAATTGTAATGACATGTAAGCAGAGTGGAGGGAGGGTTAACTTGACATGTCAGCGTCTCCGTCGAGAAGGTCGCTATAGGAATTTTTCGTGAATGATTTATTCTTATTTATTCTTCTGATTTCTTCTGTACTTAGGTGATTTGGTACATTTGAAGCGCAACGAGTTGGCGCACGTGAATAATTTGAAATTGAAGGTTGATTGAGGGATGAAAGATTGGATTCATTACAGCTTGTAGTTTGTTGAGTAGAGTTGAGAACTGGTGATTCTGGGGGATTTAGTTTATTAGATTTTGACATATGTGTTGTTGTTTTAATTTTTTCAATATTTGCTGTTGTTTTGATTTTTTTAATATTATCGTTGGCGGGCAATGGAACTGATTTGGCAATGTAATTTTTGGTTAATGGTGGAACAGGTTTTTCATTGGAAGCAGTTGGAGTTTAAGTCTTACTAGGGTCGATTTGCGAGGCAACAGCAGCGTAGGTATTACTTTTGCCAATTCCATGCGCTACAGATGGATTTCTTTCCCGGTATGTGCGTCGCGCTTCGCCCATGCTACAGTAATTTTCTGTTTTGATTTTTAATATTTCACGCATCTGTACAAAACGTGGGCATTGTTTGTCTAACACTGAGTGTTGATCATTGCAATTTATGCAGAAACTACGGGTACAGCTTTCAGCATGTGGAGGATGACCTCAGTTAGCACAAGATGCAGCACTAGTGCATCTTTTTGCCGTATGACCCAGGCGTCGTCAATTTTTACACCTCATAGGATTTGGGATGTATAGTTCTACTTTACATTTATACCACGCCACATCAACTGTTCGCGGTAATCGATAGCGATCAAAAGTTAAAATAATCCTTCCTGTAGGAGAGCGTGTTTTTCCGTCATCATTCATTTATATACTTTAGTCACTCCTTGATTGCCCATTTCGCGGACAATTTCATCTTCCGGCACATTCTTTAAGCAAGGGGCATAAATTACGCCTCGAACCGAGTTAAGTTTCTCATGTAGTTTAGCTGAAATAGCACATAGATTAGCTAAAGATTTGGCCTTAATGAGCTTTTCGGTTGCGCGCGGGTTCCCAGCGAGGACCAGTAAATTCCCATCGCGTAGAATCGAGATGGAGTCGATGTACGTTGTAATGCTATCTAGAGCTTTTTTTATAGCAAAAGGGCTAATTTGGGAAATTGTTATTCTAGCATCGGTTGAAGAAATAACAATATATTTTTTATCAATAGGACTTATGTCACTGATTGGCAACACCGGAAAATCGGAATTTTTAGTTTTTTTTCTTTGGGTGATGTGTCACCTAATAGATGAAATCTATTCGGGTTTTTATCTAGCGGCCCAGGGGCCATTATACCTCATTGTTGTCTATTGTTTATTATTTGTGAAATAACCACTCACTTGAAAAGGTTTGGGAAACTACTGAATAAAATGTCAGATGTTTTTAATTTTTTTTTTTAAGTATTTAAAGGAAAACACGTACGGTATCCCCGATGAACAGTTTTCGCAATAAACACTCAAAAAGTTCATAAAATTTTAATAAGTTTGAAAACTTTTAAAAACGGATAACGCAATAAAGAAATTAAATAGAAGAATAAATTGCAAAAATTTTTTCACAAAGAGAAAAATATGACCACAGCGTGCCTTGCGTTTAACTCAGGCTTTTGTTTCTAGTTTTATGTTTCTGCTGGTTGTTGGCGATGAGCATACTTTTTATTTACTTAAACGCAATTTAAAATGATATTTTGTTCTTCAAAGTATTGAAGAATTCATTTGTCCAACGTACATATTCCAACTAATAACAGCTAGCCGAACTCGCCCGGAAGGCTCGACAATTTTATCTGGAAATTGCAGACTTTACAGTCTAAACCTAAAAGAAACATTGAGTATCAAAAAATCTCAGAATGAAGCAAGGAATAAAAAAGTTTGAAACTGTACTGAGTACATTACGAACAATCTAGGAAAATAAGATAATTAAGAGGTTGTGGGTTGGTGGATTAAATCACTTACTTAACATACTCCTAAATAAAAAATTAAACGGAGCTACATCACATGATTTTGGTGCGAAGTTCACATAGACTTTAAATGATCATTGAAATTCTCTGCCAATAAAGTGTTTGTGTCACGAGATACATGGCATGTTGCACTATTTCGTTGAAACCATATATAGACCAAATCGAAATCACCTCATTTATGACATCAAAAACGGGTATTCATGTATCTGCACCATTCTGCATTCACGGTAACTGAAATATGATGGTTCGTCTACACTTTAGTTCAACGCATCAATATATTCAGCGGTACGCTTACATTTTTGACAGATTTTATTTTTAGCATATCAAACACTACTGTTTGGCTTGGGTTTTTCAATTCCCTTAGCAACTTTTGTGAGTTGATTGATTATGTTGACTATCAGTTTGATTGTTTGAGTGTAAAATACAGTCCGAATACATTTACTGTTGTAATCAATCTCCACAATTTCTACACGCTCTACAACTGTACATTGTTCCATGATAACGTGGCAAACAATACTAAACGCAAATGTCAATTTTGGTGGGAATCTGAAGAAATAAAATGTAATTTTGTTAGTCCAAAATAGGTTTGACTAACGCAAAAAAAAATATTTGTTCTCTCCCTCGTTAGATATCGACAATAATGGTTTTCTCGATGAAAACGATTTCCTCTGCATGGCAGTTCGTGCATGTGTTGTGGAAGGCAAGGGTGATTGCAGTGCTTCCCGCTTAGAAGAATACAAAAAACTTATGAACAATTTATGGGAGGAAATGTGCCAAATTGCTGACGATGATAAGGTATTTTACAAAAGCGGACTCTTTAATTAATATTGAGTTGAGTTTGAAAACATATTTATCTTCTCATATCGTCAAACTGTATAGGATGGAAAAATTTCAACCGCAGAATTTAAGGAAGGTGTCCGCAAGACTTGCGTTGGTAAGAAGTACACCGAATTCCCCCAAGTAAGTATACCAACCTTACGGATAATTCATATTGAATGAAGGATTAATCTTTTTTTGTATGCTGTTTCTTTAAGGCTATGAAAGCATTTATCGAATCGAATTTCCGAATTCTCGATATTAACGGTGATGGTATAGTGGGAATCGAAGAATTTCGTTTCAATTGCATTACTCGCATGGCAATCGATGATGTGGCGCCGATTGATAAAGCTTTTAACGCTTTGTTGACCGTAAGTAACACAATGTATACCACATCAGCATGTTTATTCTCTACTGATGTATCTTGCTCGTCCATCTGTCCATCCGCCTGTCCATCCTCTGCTATTACAATTCTTAATTGTACAAATAGAGTTGAAGCTTCGCATATGTATTCTTACTTAACATGCAAATATCAAGCAAGGATTGATCGATATATTGGGCAGCTATACTTTCAAAGAGAATGGTATCGCATCTAGATCCCATGGCGCTTACCAACAACAGCCAACGTGAGTGCAGCTTTTTTCTTAGTCTCATTTTCTATATCCATTGTACGGAACAATATTGAATTTGTAACCGGAAAAATATGCTTTGCAACTCCCATAACAGCTACACTTTCTTTAATTTTATAAGTTGCCAGATGATTTACTTGGCTGTCTGTTAGCAATTATTGTAACTTTTACTATCAAAAGCTGAATTTAGAAGTTACAAATTCTTATATATATTATTAAATTGGAAAGTGCCCATGGGGAATATAAAAACCGCCGCAGTCTAGAAAAATGCATTACAATTTCATAACAATTTACGTCTTACACACCCCAAGCTGAAATTTAGTTTTAAATATTCATATAAATGCTTTTGGTTACATACCTCAAATTTGAACATTGATCTTGGCTTAAAAGTTAAAGCGACTAAGAAAAACGGGAATACTTTTATGCTTTTATAGTAGACTCTGATCTGAATTTCAGCGAAAGGAGTTGTTAGACATGTGCTAAACTGCCTAGTTGTGTCATTCGACTATTTGATATCTCCGTAATTGATAAAAAACGTGGAATGTATAAAAAGTATGAGACATTCTCGCCTGCCGTACATATGGTAATTAGAAGTGAACCATATATAGATGTTTTTCGTATAGATTAGCAATTTCTCTTCCTTATATTTTTTTAAATGTATTTATTTATTTATTTTTTTTATTATTTTGATAGGATGAGGATAGAAAAGTGGGTGGCATTAATATGGATCGTTATAAAGAACTTTACGGCCAGTTCCTAAGCAACACTGCCGAGAATCATCCCGCTGTTTACTTGTTTGGTCCTTTGTAATCGGATTTCTCTCTTATACCCTTTTACTGTTAGGGTTAAAGGAAATGTTTGTAAATGTCTTCGCTGTTGTTTTTTGTTTTCTAATTATTCTTTCGTTCAATAGAAATTTTAATTTAACTATGAATGATTTGTTAAAAGAAAAAACAAATTTTTAAAGTACATATATTTAATACTTCTCCTATATATTTATTATACAGATATATAATATAGAATATAAAAATAAACTGTAAAACAGGGAAAGCTCATCACTGATAATAATGTATTAAATAATAATGAAGCAGACAGAGATTTATGAGTAAAATAAAATCATTTAAAATACAAAGAAAACTTATATCTAATATATAATAATCGTCAATAAGTATCGAAATGTATTGCATCACAGCTAAACCTAAATAACGCAACTTAAACAGGAACAACAACAACAAAAACAAAAACGGTGTAGAATCGTCACACGCCTACAAGCCTAGTTTGCCAACGAAACAATATGAAAAGCAAAAAAAATAAAGTAATAATAATAAATATTCAAACACACACACACAGACACTATCTCCATACACCTCTAACACCTTGTCACCCACATTAGTATCTTGGAACTTTTCAACCCAAATCCCAAGTGCTCTTCAATCATACGCCACAATCTACAAAGTCTCTCTTGCTCTCTTACTCTCTTTTATGCGAAACAAAATTCAATTAACAGACATACATACATAATTTAGGGTTTTTCTACATAAACAACCAAAATTTCAATTGAAAAATTAATTTTCATTATTCTACATATTGATATAAATATTTCTATACATATATGCATATATTATGGACTTGAATAAATGTATACATATATGGATAATTATATGCCTTATGTTGTTATTACGTTAATTATTATCATTATTATTAATAATAAATTAATCGTTTAATCATTTTGTTAAAACATAATCAAATATATATATAAAAAACGAAAATTTATATATACAGACAGTATACATATACTATTTACTCCTACTTTAAATATAAATCCGTGTATTCAATTTGTTTTATATAAAAGCTTAAAGTTGACAAAGAAAGTTAAAAATTTTTAAATTATTTATTATACATTTGCGGGTTCGATTGCTTCGATTTACTACGACTTACCAAAATACAAAAACACTTTCAATAATACTTTCAAAATTCATAATGTATTAAGTTATTCCTCATAATTCTTCGCTTAAATTTTTGTGTGGTCTGATCAAAAAGTAAGTAGACCTTTTTTTTGTTTGTCCAAAAGATACTTAATTTTTAATATTCTTCTTCTTCTGAACTTATAGATACATGCTAAAGCAGCTTCAATCTCTGCAAAAAAAAAACATCTCTTTCACTATTTGAGCTTTTACTGTACTTTCGTTTTTATTTTTTCTATTGTTGAAAAATGCTGTTCTTTGGGTGTCCTTTTGAGCTCCGGAAACAGAACAATTCGCAATGGTGCACCTCCCCTCTGGGGAGACATGCTCCAACGCATCATTGTAATTTTTTACTAAAAATATTTGGACATTTTAAAGTTTTAAAAGAATTCTTTTTTTTACTTATTTCATGTTAGAAATATTAGCAAAACTTGCTTAACCCCGAAATGCATAGTGATGCCAATTGTCTACATACTAATTTCACTTAATTTTATCCGAAACCTTAATGTGTGCGTCTCCGAAAGGAAGTTGATAACATTGACATTACTTTTGGCGGTTAACTTATACAGTAAAAATTCCTTATTCGCGGGGGATACGTTTCATAAAAATGCCGCGAATACAGAAACCGTCAATACGGAATGGTAATTTATATGGCATTATAGGCGATACGTTCCTAGGTGACAAAATAAAAAAAAATTAAATATATAAAAAAATCAATTGAATTGAATGCGAATGTGCATTTAGTTTTCCCTCTTTAGGCAATTTGTTAATTGGGGAAATTACTTAGCTGAAATGAACTAGATTTGGGATTTTCGCAACAATACTTTATTCATTGATTAATAAGGTTTCTTTCATTCTATTTGTTTACATTCTCAAAAACCGCGTATAAAGAAATTTATAGCCGCGAATATGGGAATTGGTCGCATTTTTTTCGTCCGCGAATAGTGAAACCGCGAATAAATGGAGCGTGAATAAAGAACTTTTACTGTATTCTTTTTGACATTTGAAGGTTGTGGGTAGTAAAGTTTAATGTCTTACTTGAAGCGATATTTCTATTTTCTGTTGCCATGTAAGCCATCAATACTTGATGTTCCATTTGAAAATATGCCACATATTTGGGATATACTGTACGTTAGTCGTTTATCACGTACACAATGTTACGAAAAATCCGCATCTATTGATTTGCGTTATCATGAAAGTTAGCCGAGCTCAAGCAGCTGACTCTGTGGTCCGAGGAACCTATGGGTAAAAAGTAGCGGATTATGAAGGTTCTTATATCTCAGTGGCATGCTGGAAAGACAATAAGTTCGTCACGTGTAGGCTCTCAGCCGAAAGTGTCAACAAATATGATAAAAAAAGAAACACATCTCCATAGCCTCATCAAAAATAAGATTAAAGATTGCAAGGAATTGACTTTATGGACAGCTTTTTGGATAATTATAGGATCGGAATTAAAAGTCCCAAGTGACATATTACATTATTTTATCACATGGTTGATATGGCAGTGATTAATTGATAAGCATTGTATATGAAAAATAACTCAAACCTTACAGTAGATGATTGTTGGTCAGAACTTTCAGATACATTATGCCCTTATAAAACTATGATGGGAATAAAAAATGCAGTAATCTAGAAAGGAAAGCTAAAAAACACCAATGCCCCACAAAGTCTACATATGGACTAATGGTAGAGGCCTTGATGAAGAAAGTCGCAGCTCAAAAAATAGATGCGAACTTCCAGGTTGGAAAGGATTTTCACGGACTGAGTGCAGCAAGGATTCTTCATATCACAACAAAAATTACAATTGCTTTGCTGTTGTTCATCGATAAATAATATGAATATTCCTATACTAGATTTATTAAATTATTTTTTACGTAATCTATGACCACATTCCCCTAAAAAACAATTTTTTAAAATTCAAAACCAAAAATTATACATTTAAGGACTAACACGGGCCGTACTCATCAGAGTGCTGACACAAGCGCTTTGATCTTTCGCTGGGCAGCTCGAAGTTAAATCGATGCGTTGCTGAGTTTTTGTCTCGAAAATAATAAATCTGAAGATATCCTATTGAGTCACTTAGAAGCAAGACATACTTCAGCTCCTTTCTTACTTGAGCGTTAATTCAACATATCGCAAATAGGTTGATCTCCCTAAGTATTTAACTTGGGAATATTTCATCATCATCAAGCTAATTTGGTTGATGCTTTTCACACTGCATTTTGACCAAAATTTTCTCCGAATATTTCACAAATTTTCTTGAACAACTTCCATTCGAAGTACAAGAGCGTATTTTTACCCTATCAACTTACACATGAAGTATGCTCAGCGGCAGTTCATGGGTTTTTACAAGAAATTTATTTTCTTGGACCAGACGACTGTGTAAGATGTTCTTATCCTAACGTACTATTAACTTAGACACTCAGTTGTTGTCTTTTATCTGTTTAATTTTTTGTGTATGTAATATTGCTATATGCTACGACAACGTAATTTAACTTACTAAACACTAATCCAACCGCATTATCTTTTGGCAACATTATCAAAGAAAACAATTAACTTACCTGATTTCTTTGCCCTTCATCCGAACTACTTGTCATGAATGCCGAAATAACTTCTCGATTCTTCGTGAACGTTTGTCTGCCAACATCATCGTAGCAGAGGGTTGGGCTTTCTATTTGTCTCCTTCTGACAGATCCATTAATGTTCTTTATTGTTAGTCCCTAATGGGTTCGCATCGTCTCCATGGTCTCGACGTCAGATTCTCCCGATTCGCTGTCATCCTTCATTTCTCTACCCATTCTTCACGAGGCATGATGTGAATTAGACTTTCTTTGTTAGGATGTCTTGTATTGGCGGATCGTTTAAGCGATGGGTTATGTCCTCTACTGGTATGTTTAGCTTGGTTATATTACTTCCTTGGCCCACTTGGCGGTTCGGTTCATGGTAGTTCGGTGATATGACAGGGTTGATCTTCGGGAAAAATACTGAGTTCGCAGTTTGCATTCCGGGTCTGCGCACCTTATTGTTTGTAAGAAATTGAACCCTAAAATTATATCCTCTGTAGCCCGAGGTATTAGCACAAAACGTAATAAACTCGTGAGGCCCCGTAATTGTATAGGGCATATAAATATACTATCCACTTTTAACATTTTACCACCTGCCAACTGAATTGTTGCTTGATGCGGAATTCCACGATACCTCCTCCAAATTTCTTGTACAAATCTTTCACATGCGAAACTAGTTCTGGCTTCTTTATGAATAATAGCAGCACGGTTTGAGTACCTTCGCCTCAAAAGTTAAGCAGGTTGGAACTTCCTTCGGAGTGTTTATAAGACATTGTGTAGTATAACCTAGTGGCGAGGTTTGCCGGATATCGAACGCATCGCGCCCCACTAGTGATGGGTTCCTTGCCCGTTTTCCTGGTTGGTAACTGCTTCTTCGCTATTGCTGCATTTTCTTGAATGTGCTTTGCTGGCGGCAACAATCCGTGGGCCTCCTTCCACCCTGGCTACAATATAACACTAGTCGATTTCGGCGAGCTTTCTTTGAGAGTCCTTGACGACCACATTTGCAGCACGTAGGTTGTCTGCTACTGACGGTCTTTTTCTAGGTTGTCTTTATCAGTCGTTGCTGGCCCTTCACCACTGCTCCCATTGTCTCTCGGTCTTGTTACTCTGGGCTGCTCTCTGCGGCGATTTCCTGCCGGTATGCTTTCGCCAATTCTAATAAATCCTTCAGGGACTTAAAATCATAGCGCCTAATGTGCCATAAATAACCCGGCTAAGCGTGATTGTAAATACCCTCCAACTTCTGTTGCTCAATGTAACTTGTAAAAACTATCTCGGGATTTTTACACCCT